AGTCCTCTGCATGTGCTGGAACTCGAACTGAATCTCCAGCAGCCAAGAGACCTGTGCACACTTTTCGTCTGCATTTACAGTACATGAGACCATGCCAAAGTGGACCAGTATCTTAAAGGCTATTGGCTGAAGGAGTTCCCACGGCAGGTGGGTCTGTGTGGGTGTGAGACCAACTTGGTCTACAGAGTTCCAGGACAGCTGCAAAGCTACAGAGAAACCCTGTCTTGGGAAAAATAAAATGAAAAAGAATATAAAAGTTATCTCCTGTACAAATAGGAAGTGACTTAAGTCCCGAAGAAAACTTAAATGCAGTTCCTTCTTCAGGTGCGTGAGTGAGTCTGCTGTGGTCCCAAGGTTCAGTCACAAACACAGAGCCAAGTAGAGCAGAGTGACTTCTCCCTTGGCCCCAGGTATGCAGACCTGACTTCTATCTCCTTTTACCCGGTCGCTGGAGCTTTACTCTCTTTCTGGTGACTTCCAGATCTTTTCTCTCTGCCATTGTCCTCGATGGCCTAGGGAGGAGTCAGAGAGGATCCTTCATGTTTCCGTGGATCCATCTTCCCCTTTCCAGGTTTCTTCTGGAGAAGTGAAAATTGGGGAGGTTAATGCTTCTTCTGCAGCAAAGCCAGGGAGGTCAGAGTGTGCGTGTGAGTGCAAGTCTGTTGTTGGTAGTGATCCTATAACAGAAGCAGAATCTGAACCGATGTTGAAGGGTTCATGAACTAACTGTAATAGATGTTGCACCTGTTGAGCTGAAGAAAGAGAGAGTGTTTTAATAAGAGTGATGACTATCTGAACCACAAATCCCTCCTGTACCGTTAGACGAGCCGTCAGTAAAATACGTATTTATTCATGGAATGGGAGAAGGTTGGACAACTTTGGTAATCACAAATTCAGTTTATATGAGGACATCCCACAGTTTACCAGCCGGATAATGATTTCCTCTCCTTCCATACAAATGAAATTTGAAAATCCATAGAGTTCTGTAACACCCTTAAACCGATTGCTAGTTAAGGGTAAGTAGTACAGCAAGGCTCAAACCCATATAATTGTTGACATATAATTGTCCTCCCCTGACTTACTAATTGAGCAAGGAGGGTAAGGCAAGCAGTTAGTAGTTGATGGCCCTTGTGCTGAAATCCCTGTGGGAGGCAGTTATGGCAGGGAGAGATCCACATGGCACACAAAGGCCTGCTAGTCTAGATTCAGATAGCTGTAGTTCCTCTCTGGTGTCCCGACTGTCCAATGCCATCTCTCCTCCTAGAGTTCTAAGTAGATTGCTTAGTGTATAATTAGGTAAACATTTTGATTTTGCAGAAATTGCACTGGAAATACCAAGCCCAGCTCATGAGTCCAGGGAGGAATTGGGAAATGAAATCTGTTTCTCTTTGGAGCCCTAGCTAGCTTGCCTAGGTTGCGTGTAAAGTTCGCTTTTTTTGTAGGCTCTCCTCTCAATCCTCATCAAAAAGTGGAGAGAATTCAAGATTAGATTGATTATCAAATTCCTCACCCCATGCTTCAGGGTCATTTTCAGGCAATGGAGGAAACTGTCCAAAAGAGGCCCCAGTCAGGGAGCGGAGGAAACGTCATCAGCATAGTTATGGAGAAAAATATCTCTCTCTCTCATACTATAAATGATGACTGCCAACAAAAAGTGCATGCTCGCTCGCTCTCCTGGAACGCACTCTGGAACCAGGCTGGCCTTGAACTCACAGAGACCTGTCTCCCTAAGAGGACATTTTAGTTAGAGCTTCCTTTGAAGCCCTCCATACTGTTCCAGTTCTGAGTCCCTTCTTCCATTCCTAAAGACGACACTGAGATTGCTGGAGTGGTTCCCGCGTGCACGCTGACACTGTTGCGTGGTTCCTGTGTGCTCACACTGAAATTGCTGGAGTGGTTCCCGCGTGCGTGCTGACACTGTTGTGTGGTTCCCATGTGCCCACACTGAGCATGTACTTGCACGTCCTCAGACCCTGCTTTAACTCTGCACTGCACCCCCTCTTCCCGCAGTGCTCTTCACTGGCCTCAACATTACTGTGGTCCGTGCTGTGTCAGCCACTGGTTTCTCTGTACAGTGTGACAACAGTGTGGCTCTTTAAAATGGACAGCTACCTGTGTGTTCTGTTACCCTACAGCTGTGCTCCTGGGTGAAGTTGTCAGACTGGAAGAAGACGTGGTATGCCCAGCTGCTCTTCAGAGTATTTTATGATTCGTACACTGCCAGTTAGATGAGAGTTTTCCTTTATCCATTGATGGAGGAAGGTCATTGGCTAATAAAGGAACTGCCCTGGCCCATTTTATTGGTTAGAGGATAGGTGGGAGGAGTAAACAGAACAAAATGCTGGGAGGAAGAGGAAGTGAGGTCAGAGTCGCAACAGCTCTGCTCTCAGGAGCAGACGCCTGAGAGAGACGCCATGCCCCGCTCCCGGAATGAAGCTCCGACCCAGGATGGACATAGGCTAGAATCTCCCTGGTAAGCGCACCTTGGGGTGCTACATACAGATGATTAGAAATGGGCTAAATTAATATGTGAGAATTAGCCTAGAAGAGAATGGGCCAAGCAGTGTTTAAAAGAATACAGTGTCCGTGTAATTATTTCGGGTCATAAGCTAGCCGGGCAGGCGGCTGGGGTGTTGGGGACGCAGCCCCGCCGCCACCCTTATTACTTCAATCCATGTAACCAGTGTTTGTGTTTTCAAACTTTAAAGCTTTTGCTAATGTGGTTGGTATCTATTTTCACATGGTGTCAATTTTAGGAGGCTTGTCTTTTCCTGTTTTCAGACATGGTCTTTTGTGAATTGTTTTTTCTTTTTCTTCTTCCTTTTTAATCCCAGCACCTTGGAGTTAGAGGAAAAAATGGAAACAAAACCTGGTACTCTGAGAGAACAGTGAGCATACTCTTAACCACTGCGCTCTCTCCAGCCTCTCATATCGTTTTGTTTTGAGACAGGGTCTCACTATGTGAATGGCTGGCCTGGAGCTTGCTATATAGAGAACTTGGCCTCAAACTTGTAAAGAACTCCTTGCCTCTACTTCCAGAGTGCTGGGATTAAAGTCCTGTGCAGGCATGCCTGCTTTGTTTTGGAGTGAGGCACACTTCTCTCTGTAGCTCAGACTGAAGAGACACCATGACAGGCAACTCTTATAAGGGAAAGTATTAACTGGGGCTTGCTTATAGTTTCAGAGGCTTTGTACATTATCATCATGGCTGACTGCGTGATGCTTGAGAAGTAGCTCAGAGCTGCCTCCTGATGCACAGGTGGAGAGAGAGAGACTGGGCCTGGTATGGGCTTTTGAAACCCCCAAGCCCACTCCTAGTGAGGTACTTCCTCCAATGAGGCCACACCCCTAATCCCTGCAATCCTTTCAAATAGTGTCACACTGTCTGATGACTAAACCTGTGGGGAGGGGACATTTTATCCAAAGCACCACACCTGGGTTCCATCCCAGCACCACAAAAACGGGGCATGGGATTGGAGAGATTGTTCAGAGGTTAAGAGCACTGACTGTTCTTCCAGAGGTCCTGAGTTCAATTCCTAGTAACCACATGGTGGCTCACAACTGTCTGTAATGAGATCTGGTGCTGTCTTCTGGCCTGCAGCATACATGCAGACAGAATATGATATACATAATTAATAAATATTTAAAAAAAAAAAACGGGGCATGGTGGTGATGCTACCTACTACCCCGGAACTTGTTCTGTAGACCAAGCTGGCCTTGATCTACAGGTGTTTGCCACCACTGCCTGAAGTTACTTAAATTCTTTATCCTTGTTTGATTATGTCTTTCTATGTTGTGTATACTTCAGCTGTGCGTGTGTGTATATATATTATTCATCACATCTGGAGACGCTGTAGGCATATTTTCTTCCGTAGTTTTCACTGTCCTCTGCACATTTCAGATCACTCTATTGAACTTTGCACAGTTTTGTCACACACACCAGTAAGATGCTTGATTTTTTTTTTTCTCAGAAGACTTTCTCTCCCTGATGCATTTTCACAGTCTTAAATCCCTTTCAGTAACTTTTTTTTTTTTTAATTTAATTTAACCTTTGAAGATAAGAGTCTCATGCAGCTCAGGTTGACTTGATGCTCACTGCAAAGCTGAAGATGACTTCAGCATCTGGTCCTGTTTCCTCTACCTCCTTCCTCTTCCCAGAGGAGCAGGGTTAGATTCCCAGCACCCCCATGGGGACTCACAGCTGTCTGTAACTTCTGCTCCAGGAGATCCAGTCCCTTCTTCTGGCTTCCATGGACATCAGGCATGCATGTGATATGCACAGACATACATAAGGGAAAACATTCACGCACATAAAATTAAAGTAAAATTAAAAAATACTGAGTTGGGGTCTGCCAACATAGAAATCTATTCATGAATAAATTTACTTATTTATTATGTGTACAGCATTCCTTCCATGTGTGCCTGCATGTCAGAAGGGGGCGCCAGGTCTCATGATGGCTGTGAGCCACCATGTGGTTGCTGGGAATTGAACTCAGGACCTCTGGAAGAGCAGTCAGTGCTGTTAAACAATGAGCCATCTCTCCAGCCCCCATCAAAATATTCTTAAAAAAATGAACTCAGAAAAATTAAGCTAGAGAGTTTGCTGTGAGCCATGTCTAGTGAGGAGCGTCTTCACAGGTAAGGATAGAATCAGGCGGTGACCTGGCACTGATGGCCGCTGAGGAAATGGTGGACTCTGCAGTTTATGTTTGTAGATGTTTTATTATGATAATCCAGGAAGACTTTGTACATACACATATAATCAAAACTGCCCTCCTGAAACAAACGTTCAAATTTCTCCAAAAACAAAATTAAGATGTTATATTCTTTCCAAGCTACTAATACAGTTATATTTGGTAATGGCAATTCTAACTCTTAACATTAGCTGAAAAGAGTTGACCTTCTTTATAAAAGCAACCTAGAGAGCTACAGTAAAGTTGTACAAACTCTTTCTTTTGGAATTCTCCTAGTCTGCAAAATGATCATGTATAAGAATGAAATTGAAATGCTAAGATTTAGTATATAACTTACACGCAGTGAAATTCACAAAGTCACATGTGTACATTTTATATTTTGCACTACTCTAACCACAAACTGTATAAAGGTGTCATGTTAGGTGTTTCACAACTAATAACCTGTATGATGATGTTCCAAGATGGAATGATGCTAAAAGAAAAGTACTGCTTATAAAATATCTGGTAAAAGTTTTATCTCTATTAACATTACAACAGGAAGATGCATGTTACCAAATTATGATATCACATAGGGCAGTTTTAGACAATACCCAGAGACGCCTCTTTTTCTCCATCTTGTTTCAGATCTTTGTTTTCAGCTTCTTGTTCGGCCTCCACCTTGCTTTCATCATTTCCTTCACCTGCAGCCTCTTTGTCTTTGCCTTCTTCCTCCTGTCTCTCTTTCCCATCGTCTTTCTCCTTTCCGTCTTCCCCTCTCTGGCCTTTCTGTTCATCTTCCTCATTTTCCTCTTTGCATTTTCCACCTTCCTCTTCTTTTTCCTCTCTCTGTTCTTTAACCTCTTCCTCGGCTTCAGCTTCCTCTTGTTTGTCATCTTTCTCTTTTTCTGTCTTCCCATCTCCTTGCTCCTCTTTGCTGTCTTCTTTTTCATCACCTCCTTTGCCTCCATCATCTTTGTCCTCTTTTGCATCCTCACTTCCTGCTGCCTCTGGTTTCTCTTCCGGGACTCCTTCCCTGTTTTCGTCTTTCACCTCCTCACCTTTATCTTTGTCCGCTTCTCCATCTTCCTTTTTCTCTATATTTTGGATGTTTTCATCATCTTTTCCTTCTGCCGCCACTCCTTCTTTCTTTTCTCCTCCATCTTCTTCAGCTTCTTCATTCATCTCTTTTACTTCCTCCGCTTCCATCTTTTGAATGGGTGCCTCCATAACTTTGGCTTCTCCATTTTCAGCCCTGTCCATGTTGCACGCCTCCTGAACACCTTCGGGCTTGCTTTCAGGAACTGTTACAGCACCTGCATCCTTGTTTTCTTCCACTACAACATTCGTGTTCTTCATTTTCCTTTGAGTTGATGTTCTTTTAGGTTTCAACTCTGGTGTAAAGGGCACAGGCACAGCAGACAGTCGGGCTGATCTTCTCTTTGGCTCCTGACTCGCAGCACTTGTAGCCTTTCTTTTGGGCATTGTTGCAGCTCTCCAGGAGATCCTTAGGTGGGAAAAATGCCTAGACCAGTCTCCATAAAGGCGTGCGTCACTACCTGGCTATAAGAATATGCCTCAGTGGCCCTGTATGCAGTTGAAGATCCTGATTGTACAGCTCCTAGCAACTAAAGTTGCAGCTCAGTGGGACAGAGCAGATGGCACGGGCATAGCCCTGCACAGTCTGCAGTCCTGCGAGAGAGACAGGGGGAACAGTTTAAAGTATGTAATACAGAATAAATTTTTGTCTAGTAGTAAAAGACAGGAAGGGCATGCTGGGATTTATGCAAAATGTAGGATTGTAGATTTAATTATCAGCAACTGCATTAGATATATTTAGTGTTAGCAAAACTTTTCAGGTCTTGTCGTCAAAGTAGGATGTGTTGAAACTGATTTGCTGTTGTGTGAGTAGCTGCAGACAGTACAAGAGGGACTGAATGTAGTTATGTCTAGAACTCTGTAGATAATAAAATTTGAATTTCCTATAATTATCATTTGTCATAAACACTTTGCTTTTCCACCAAATCTAACTCTTTAAAAATGTGAAGAGGGCTGGGTGGTATTACGTGCCTTTAATACCAGCAGTCGGGAAGCAGGGGCAGGTGGATCTCTGTGAGTTCGAGGCCAGGCTGGTCTACAGAGTGAGTTCCAGGACAGCCAGTGCAGTTACACAGAGAAACCCTGTCTCAAAAATAGAAAATAAATAAATAAATAAACAGTGAAAATGTCTTGAGCTCAAAGACTTTATGAAAAGGGTTAGTTTCTTTTGCCCTGCATGAGGGAATTTACTAACCTTTGGTGTAAACTATTGGTTCTCAACTTCCTGATGCTGTGACCCTTTAATACAGTTCCTCATGTTGTGATGACCTCAATCATAAAATTATTTTTATTACTACTTCATTGTTGTAATTTTATTACTGTTGTGAGGCTGATATGTGACCCTTGTTGGGTCATGACCCACAAGTTGAGAACCACTGATCTAAACATAGTCCAACACCAGCCAGTCCCATATGATATTTAAATTATAACTGAAATCAAATCAAAGATGGAGGTTGTCCGAGTGGATAGGATTGCAAAGCCCAAGTACGTGTATTCAACTTTATACAGAAAGATACAAAAAAAAAAGATGCACATGCAAGACCCTGGATTCAATCCCGGACACCACGAGAAAGGAAAGGCGCATGAATGTTGGGAAAGGAATATGAAGTGGGAATACCTTCTAATTCCAGAAGTGAGTTCGTCAGGAAGAAAGGATCATTTTCATTGATAGCACAGTCGTTGGGTGTAACTGTTTTAATATTATCTTAAGTTAGACATGGTGACTGTTATTGCCAGTGACATTGATATTTGTATAGTACCTTGTCCAGCAAAGTAAAAGAAACAGCAAGGCTACCCTGCTGTTGGTGTATTGTACTGGTGAGCACTGTCCCAGGTGCTGAAGACAGGCCCCTACACTTCATCTCTGGAATTTGTGATGGACATTCTGGGCTACTAGGAGGGACACTGTCCTGAAAGTGATGTAAAAGAATTATTTCCTAAGGGGCATTAAGTGGCCTAACCCTGTGAGTGAGGTCTGGTGCTTAGGATGAACAAAGCCGTGCACGCTAGAGCTAGGATGAGGTCCAGTCACTAAACAAAGCTAGCACCTTTGCTCTGAGCTCTTGTTACACGAATCCAAGGAGCACTTTGTTGATGAAGCCACTCGGACAGTGACATTGTAGTATCTAGATTATAGAAAGGGGACAGGAAGGTGATCTGGGGGACATAAGAAAGGAAGTTCTAACATAGAACTAGCTTTCAAGGAAACTGCAGAAACATGAGGCATCTGAAGGAATTCAAAAAAGAAGCAAAGTTGCAAGGAGGGAACTGAGCTGGTCCACAGCATACTATGCTGCGCTGCAGCCTTAACTACGAGCTGGATTTTGTGAGTCCAGAGTAAATGGACGGGTAAGATAGTGGATGTGTGTTAGAGTGCACCCTGAGAACAAGGCTGCAGGACCGTGTTCCTTGGAAGGGACTTAAGCATGTTAGTCAATGATGCTTATTTATTTACATTTTTGGTGCTCTTGCGTGAATTCATTCACTCAAATAAAAGTAACCTGCAAATTTGTTTTATGCTTTTTTAAAGAGGCCTAGTCTTCGTAAGTTACCCAGAAGAATGTTTTCTTGTACAGAATGGAAGTTTGAGCTGGTCGTTGTCTTTGTGAACGTACCCGTGGTGCCCGTTTGCTGCTGGGACGGATGCCCAGCACAGCAGTCATCTTCCTTCCAATGAGGGCAGCTCAGTTTATGTCCATCAGTGAGACGAGCAAGGATGAGTAGGTTAAGTTTGCAACATAACTTATTACATGTATCTGTTGACTGTGTGTGCGCATGTGCACATCACACACATGGCATCCATGATGCATGTGCAGGTCAGAGACTTTTGCAGTTGGTTTTCTCCTTCCCAGCAATTGATCTCAGGTCGTCAGGGATGGCAGCAGGTGTATTTACTCAACAGCCTTGTGTAATAAAACTTTAAAAATTTGATTTGTAGACCAGTTTTGAACTCACAAAAATCTGCCTGCCTCTGAGTGCTGAGATTAAAGGCGTGTACCACCACCGCCCAGCTGATTATTTTTCTCTTTAATTATTATTTTATTATTATTTATTTTACTTTTTTCTTTTCCTTTTGAGACATGGTTTTCTGTGTAGCCTGTCCTGTCCTGGAGGAACCTGCTGTCGGCCGGGCTTCCCTCAAACTCAAGAGATCCGCTTGCCTCTCCCTCCTGAGCCCTGGGGTTAAAGGCATGCACCACCCCCACCCAGCTTTCTGTAATTCATTTTATGTATATGAGTGTGCATGTCTATGTATTGTGTTTGAGCCTGGTGCCCATTGAGCTCGGAAGGTGACATTAGATTCCTTGGAACGGGAATTATAGACAGTTATGACTTGCCATGTGGCTGATGGGAAATTCTGGTAGGGAGGACAGAGTCAGCCAGAGCCAGTGAGTTCCTTCTGTGGGCACCTGCAGCTGAGTGTCTCCTTTGAACTACAGGACTGTGGTGTTTCTCAAATTTGTCCCAGCCACAGGTTAAGGAGCTTGTGTCAGTTTCTGCCTGCGGCCTGGCTCCCAGATGTGCACTTAGAAATAAATGCCAGTCTCCAGGCGTCCAGAACATACTTGTCCTAAAAGTCCTGAGTACCAAGCGGGAGGGGTGTGTCTGCTGACAGCTTCTGCGGTGCCTGAGCCCGGAGTTCCGTTTAGTTTGTTTATGTAGAAGTTCTATGGTACTCACTAATTAACTTCTAGATTGTAATAGTGGTATTATGATCGTTTTTATTTTATTTTTTTGAGGTAGGATCTGAGGGACGGTTTTGAGTGCTGGGGTCACAGATGAGTGCCCCCACACCTAGTGTTCATGCAGTGCTGGGTATTGCTAGTCAGATTCTCCACCAACTGAACCAAATCCCTAGTCCCACGTCCCTATTGTGATTATTTTGAAAGAAGATTGAGCGCCAGTCATGGTAACAAGCTAAAAGAATGCGAGGCCTAGCGCAGGCCTCAGCGCTTTCCCAGGTGGTCTGAGTTATTGACCATTTCTTTGCTTTTCAGAAAGCGAAAATGATTGGTTGGAAGAGCTCTTGGAAAGAAAGTTACATGAGCACGTGACAACGATTTCAATTTCAGTCTCATTATTCTAAAACTCTGCTCCCCAACAACTGCTGGGCAGTAAATAAAGCTTCTTGTAACCAATCACTGTGTCTGAAATGTCCTGACACCTGTGACCAAGATAAAATAACTGTCTTTATAACTCTGAGTCAATCTCTGCTCATAGGTGTAGAAGAAATGTAAATAACAGACTTTTGAAGGATTGAGGAAGAGTATGAGCTGCTGTAACTTTATACCATCCCAAAGGCTAAACAGACGGCTTAGTGGTTAAGAGCACTGGGCTCTTCCAAAGGATCTGGGTTCAATTCCCAACCCCCACGATTCAGCTCACAACTGTCTGTAACTCCAGGTCCAGGGTCTCTGACACCCTCACACAGACATACATGCAGGCAAAGCCCCAGTGTATACTAAATTTAAAATTTAAATTAAAAATCATAATTTAAGCAACAGACTAGGCTTGCAGAAGCAGCAATATTTAGAGTTTATGATATAAAGATGCACAGAAAAACATCAGTGTGAATTGCCTTTGGGTAATTGAGTCAGCTACATAGTCTGGGCTGCGGCCGCTTAGGCTCCATACCTTTGTCCTCTAGCAGGGTCTTTATGACCGTACATCTCAGACCTTTTCTTTCTGCCTTGGAATCTTTCACAGAAAGGGATCCGATAATAATTTGGGCTATTTGGAAAATGTTGTAGTTGACAAGTGAGTACAATTAGAGCTGGTCAGTTTATAGAAAATGATCGTGTGATTTAAGAATATAATTGATACTTTTAGCCAGGCACACGTCTTTAATCCCAGGACTGAAGAGGCAGAAGCAGGCTAATTTCTGTGAATTGGAGGCCAGCCTGGTCTACATAATGAGTTCAGGACAGCCAGAGCCACATGACATAAGAGACCTTTGTGGTTAAGTTTATTAGCTACAGTGACGGCCCTTACGCAATGGCGTTTGTGCAGGAGCTGCAGCCTGAAGGAATTCTGTTCCTTGCTATTAAGGTAAACTTTATCTAAATCTAAAGAACTCACAGTTCAAGGTTTGAGGTGGAATTCTGCTACTCAAAGAGGCAGTATAGCAAGTAGCTAACTTCTCCCTTTCCTAGTGTCTTCCAAACTACCCAGCATCCTTCTCTCCAATCCCCCCTTAGGAACCCCTGCTGCACGTGGTTCCTCCTTACTCCTTCTTGTCATCTACTTGTGACTCAGCCTCCTGCGTGCAGGTTCATTGTATTTAATCAAACACATATTTGAATCGTTAACAAAGGTGGTATGAAAAGATGCAACACACATCAATATTCCCCAACAGACCTTGTCTCAGAAAACCAACAAACCAACCA